TCCCCTCCCCAGCGGGGATGTACGTGCACACGGGCCTTAGGGAAAAAGGCCTCAGTAGTTAAAAGCGTACAATATGAATAATCTTCCAACAGTTTGATCAAGAGTATAAGAAAAACATAGAAACATACCATTGATCTCCAGAAGGTGACGATCAATCTCCAGCATCTGAACATGTATACATTTTCTCTCAACATTTTACCTCATGTAAATCAGTTTCTTACTACACTGACAGTGGGTACTTCTAACAAACGGAGAGAAAACTCACATTTTCAACGAGACGCTTCAAGCACACGACATTGCAGAGGTTATCTGCTATGGACTGCACATTTCCGGTAGGAGCACCAGCAAACAGAGCCCGTAGATCGTTACCGAGGTCAAACCCTAGAATCACGGATTTGTTTGAAATCGCAAACACAAGATTCTTTCTCAAGTATGGAAAATGGCTCAAAAGCCGCCACGGTCACTGCGGAGGACGGCGCAGACATGTAAGCAAAGGTAAAGTCCTGCGGAGATGACCATGTTCGGGAACGATTCGCAAAAAATATCGAATGCATGATCACAAAGCTGGATGAACTTACCAAGTTTTCTAGACTGGCTGCATAGAAGTGAACGTAGTAGCGCATCCCAATCATTCTCTGTCAAACTATTCTCAAGGGCGCAGAAATCCACCAGGTAAACGCCATCTATGATTGCAATTTGCAGAAGTGCCACACTAAAAGTTATATTTGCTAAAACTGGAAGTATTCAAATAGTGTAGCTATATACCTTTCGTTCGGAAACAGATACTGTGCTTTCCATTCAGAGTCAATGCCAATAAAATCTTGGTCCTTCAGTCGAGATACCAGTTCGCAGAAGCTTTTCTTGTCGTCCACCAATATAATGGGATAGCCAGGAATCAACTCCAACGCTTCTTCTTCTCCTACGTCCTCAGCTCGTTTCTCCATTCTGTCTAGTGATATATAGGGTATTTTTGTAGTGCAAAGATGCAAAGATATCAGATAACTGCTTCAAAATTGTATTTCTTTATATATTGATCTTTAGATACTGATCTTGAAGTTAAGGAAGCAACAAGGTACAGATGACCTATCGTTCAGTAACGAGAGGGAATACGTGCAGCTGTTTTGGGGAGAATAGTTCATGTACAGTGGCAATTTCAAAAAAAA